GAAGGGTCTCACCCTACTAATGTAGGCAGCCTAACCAAACGTAAGTATTAGTAGCTATTTCCACAGCTCGAATTCGTGACCTGTAGATCACACAGAGAAACTTAACTGTTGCTTCGAGGTTCCCTTACCCGATGTGGTCCCAGCAATTGTTTGGTTGTAAATGAACACGAAATCCTACAAAGAGATAGAAAAGAATGTGACATACATGATAACATTAAGGAAGTAATAATTGCTCAGCTTGCACTCTTGCTTTCAGCCTTCAGATTATTCCTCCTTATCTTCTCAGCCAGGAATATTTTGATTAACTATTCAGTTGACCAATAACCATTACCTGTCTTGAAATTCTGCATCAAAGGGAGGATAGTAAAGTGTGGTCTCAATTAATTCTCAGGTCGTTTAATGATTGAAAAAGATCAAATGAATTGCTTGTCCTTTACTTAATTCTTTGTTTGCTTAGTGCATTAGCACAACATCAATGACAAAGTAGAAAATTGATTATGTTCCCTTTTTGGCTATCACTTGCTCATCATATTGACTGCCCACATTTCTTGTCTCTTTAGGCAAAATGAATGGTCCATTCTGTACAATCAAAGCGTATTTGATTATCCTTTGAATACGTACAAATACGTACAAATAGCTTATAACAAAGGCAGCAATACCTGTATGTGTTAAAATTCCAGCTAAGTGCAAAAACACACTATATCCCCCTGGTCAGGGCGTGGCTAGCCCTTTGGATATGAGTTCGACTGAATTCCGTAACTTTTGTCCAAATCCTATATTTGTCTTAAAAAATTACTTGAATTATGTAAAAATTATTAATTTAAAACCTAGTAATTAAAAAGAATTAGAATATAATACTGAACCTATAGATTTCAAATCCTGACTCTGTCTCTCTGTATGTGAGTGGTCAACTTGATAACTTACTCATTTGGATCGAAACTTCACGAAACCAAAAATAGTAAGTTACCAAGTTGACCACTCACATATGTCACGCCCTGACCAGGCGAATATAGTGTGCTAGTGATGGGTTTAACTAATTTCATAACTAGTGGCACTTGAAATGTTAAGATTAAAATAAAATAAATCCATAACTATGGATTTGGAGTAAAAAAGAAATTACGTGCAAAAATTTATTAAAAATAGTAGATATGAACTCATACCTTTAAAAATATAATAGATCCAATTCTAAAATCGTAAAAGTTAATTAAACCTAAAAACGTTAACTCCTGAATCCGCCTCTGACGCCGTCGGCCATCGCCCGCATACAACTTTATCAAGAGATCAAACTACTCCCTTGCGAACTAATTTTTTTTTTTTTTTTTTTTTTTTTTTTTTTTTTTTACTTTAGTTTATTCATCCAAAAGGTTCAAAAACATAGATTTAAACGTTTTCTTGAGAAAACCACTGCTTCAAACTTTTTTAGAAGTAGGATAGCAGAACTCTATGCTTTCTAGGATAGGACAATATTTAAATTTACGGGACTAGTGAAACGAAAATCGAAGAAGTCAAAGCAAGTATCCGAGATCCTATGAGTGCATCAAATTAGTGGAGAGTATAAACATAGAATAAGCACTAGTTGTATTCTTTATTAATTACTCAATAGTTAATACAGGAAATAGAAGTTAGAATTCTTTGTTAAGACAGTACATGGACTACTAAGGCCATTTTTTGTCTTTTAGGACAGTGATGGTCTGGGATCTAGGGTTTAAAAGTTCACGTCCAAATGATGGGCCATCACATGGAATATTAATAATTGGGTCAATGCTAATCTTATTATATTCCTTAGTCCTCAAAACAACATAAGAGTGCCAAAAAACAATCGATATAAACCCTAATTATAGACTCAAACATGACCTGCACATGCCCTGCTCAATCCCTTCCATAATTTCCATTAGGTTTCAGAAGTCTATTTTTCGTCTCGAAACACAAAGAAATTACGGGGATTCAGTCCCAAATAAAAAATAAATGGTTAATTATAGCCTGTTTGGCCAAGCTTCTCAAGAGGTTAAAAGTATTTTTTTTTTCCAGAAACACTTTTTTTCTGAGGTGTTTGGCCAAGCTTCTCAAGAGGTCAAAAGTATTTTCTTTTTTTCCAGAAATACTTTTTTTCTGAGGTGTTTGGCCAAGCTTTTTTGAAAAAAAGTGCTTTTAGGAAGAAGCAGAAGTTATTTCTGAGAAGCAGAAAAAAGTAGTTTCTTCCCAAAAGCAGAAGCAGTTTTGACTTTTCTTCTTACCTAAACTACCCTTAACAAAATATAGTATATACCAAAAGAACCGTTAAACTTAATACTTAGGATATTAATGTATAAGTATTTCTTCTTATTTTTAGGATAGCTTTCTAATATATAGTAACTTTAGGGGTGAATGCTTTTATATTTGTTGAATGAGTTTTAATATATTTAACTTATATTAAAATAATTAAGTATTTTTTAATTTTATTTTCATATTTTACTTAAATAAAATAAAAAGATTTAGTTATTGTCTGTTAACATTTTTTTGAGATTATTTATTTACTTATAATATTAACTATTAAGTAAATCTATTCATGTCCTTATTCGTAATTTGATACTTAAAAGCACTTTCTGAAAAGCTTGGCCAAACACAAATTATTGTTCAAAAGTGCTTTTCACAGTGATTAGCCAAACACAAACTGCTTCTCTCCAAAAGTACTTTTGAAAAAAACACTTCTCAAAATAAGCTGATATCTCCAGCTTGGCCATTAGTTAGTTTATCTTTTTTGAGTTTACCTTGCATACATTGATACCTGTAAAATTTCTTTTATACTATCATATCAACTAAATGATAATTACAAGTGACCATTCATAATAAGTGAGATTAGTAATCCAAAAAATAAGACAGATTTTCTGCTACCGCTAAGTGAAAACAAATTAATTTTCTTTTGGTAAATATATATACTCCCTCTCCTCCCATCCCAATACCTTGGCCTTTTCTATCGGAGTGCATTAGAAATGGTTAATTATGAGACCACGAAAGCACGCTCAATAATGATGTCTTCTCTAAAATTAGCATTGCTTGAAAGGGACTGTCTATGTTTGAGTTCAATTTCAACCACAGCAAAGTAAAATACCATGATTAAGTTTAATAACTGCCTCAAAAGGTAAAAGACATCGTCCTTCATTTCTACTTCTAATTGCATAATTATGTTATGAAATTCTGTGTTCTTTCTTTTCTTTCTTATCCACTTTCTTTAAGTATTTAACACCAACTGAAATTTGAATTCTACACACCAACTCGTACATTTCTGCCTGTCCACCTTCTTCCACCTTAATATTTTAGAATACAAACTCTTCTACTGTTCTACATCTACCTTAACCTAGGAAGCCATATTTTTTCTAAATAGCTTGCTATTATAGGCATAGAGCTTCTAGCTTGGCAGCAATGGCTTCAAATCAAAGAGAAAGGTGAGCTGAATTATGAAACGTGAAGCAATAACTTAATTACTGGGAATTCATGTTTTAAATATAATTTGTTAGCTTTATTTTCTTTGATTAAACTTTTATTATGCTAGTATATTTAAACTTCAAGGTAGGACAAACTGACCAAAGAAAGATCGAGTGGTTTTAGTTCAATGCGTCTGAAGTAGACTTCAAGTTTGGTCATTACTGCTAATATTGAGGGTTAGCCAAGGTTTCTTAGGGAATATTCTAGACTTCGGACTTTAGCTAGTTTATAATATATTTTATTTTATCCGTTTAGTTTTTATTATGCTTGCAGAGTTACAGTTATAAACTTTCTTTATGATTTATGTTAGACAAGCAAGCTGGCTTTTATTAGTTTATGAGAAAACTGGATTTTTTTCGAAGAACCTGATAAGTTATATAGGAAGAATTTACTCCTTATTAACGTGAATAACCATGCATTTACTGAAGGCTATTCTTTGCATTGAGGTCAAGTTTGCGACCTATTACATTTATTTGAATCAAATATCATATGATAACTAGCAGAATACTTTTGTTACCGAAATTCCTAAGAACTTCTCATGTCGAGGTTCAGTTTTATATATCCTACTGAAGTATGTAATCGTCTCATTTAAAGGTTAAATTGTTTGACATAACACACTTTTATTTATTTAATTTGTCTTCAACACACAGTCCTTTTTTGAAAAATGGGTGGCAGTGAGACTCGAACACTGGACCTCACGCTTCTCTTTCAGTTGAAATCGATAATTGATTTATACTATTAGATTTTCAAGTTTGAATCTAGAAATAATCAGATGTAAAGAGAACTGAGGGGACATTATATTATGCTTCTTTCTCCCAAGTGGATTTATAGGGGTATAGACCTAGTACATTCCTTATACGACTTTGTCTTTTTGCATTTAGTTTAATAAAATTTCAACCTTCATGCTAAAAAGAATTATGAAAACACTTAATGATATTACAACATTTTATACACCTACTTTGATCAACTTATAGAAATCTTTTGCAATTAAAGAGAGAGCAGAGACTTAGAATTATTATTTAGAAATGTCATCAGGATCAATTTCATCTTTGGATTAGAATAAATGGGAAGTTCTCATTTTCAGCTTAGTATTTCCCAATAAATTCTTTGCTTCCATAAGCTGGAGATATTCATCTATAATTTTTGCGCTTATGGTGGAAAAGCTAGCATTGTTAACCTTTCAATCCAACAACAACATATCCAGTGCGGTCTCAGAAGTAGAATATGGGAAGGATAGTGTGTAGGCAGACCTTACCCCTACCTTATGAAGATAGAAACACTGTTTCCAATAGACCCCGTTCAAGTATATATATCACACTAAGATTTCTCGAGATCACTCAATTTCATAAGCAGAACAATGTGGCTCCTTCAGAGACATCAATAAAATTGGAAAGATACAAAAAATATTACTAGCATAACTCGTGTACAAGAATGATACACACAAATCAAGAATGGTCCAAACTAGTTTTTTTTTTTTATAAAAGAAAGTAGTAGAACAATGTGAGAGCAGCACTAAAATTAAAATACACTATCCAATATCCCATAAATGACAGGAGAGGGACGACATCTTACTTTTGCCTTCAAAATACAAATTTATATACGTATTAGAAGTCCTCTTTAGTTTTTTTTTTCCCTTCTTTTTTTCTTTAAATACTGGTTGCCTCGTATAGAACATACAAATTACTTTTAGCAGGATGCCGACCACTAATACATCACATTTGAGTTATATTATGTACAGAAACTGAGGCAATTAAGTATATTAAGTCCAATCAACATATATTTTCTATGATTTAGCATATATTTATAATGTAGCATTACTTCCAGAGATCAACTTGGGAACTTGAGGCAAGTTCTGAAGCCATTTCTTGAATCTTAAATTCATTTTGAAGCTGCAGATTCATTTGTTCAGAAGCAGGAGAGCTACAGCAGGCAGCAGTTGTCTCCATTTTGCTGCAACCATCTTCTTGACTAAGTTGAGATGCAACAAACTTATCGAGTACTCGCCAATCGGTCACTTGATCCACTGCTTGATGATCATAATTGCTGTTGTTGTTGTTATTATAAATTGAGTTTGATTGTACCATTTGATTCATATTGCTTCCATAGGATTGAGGAACTTTTGGTGACCCTAATTGAGGAAGTTGGAGAAATGCATTATTAGGAGGGTGCTGCATATTATTGGTGTAAGCAAACTGAGGATTGTGGTATGCAGTTGCAGAATATGGATTTGGAAAACGACGTGGAGATTCGAAATCTGGCATGAAATTAGAAACTTGGTCATCGTTATACCAACATAGCGACTCGTGCTCTCCTTCTCTCCTCATTGTTGATGCTAACTTTTTCTTGAATACTCTACACACTGCCCAACCTTCTTCCTGCAGGTGTAATATAATAGATAGCATAATGTTAGGATTTTCGAGTTTATGTTCTGTGCACTAACAATGTAAATAATTGTAACACTACTAGGTTTAATTAATCTTTAACAACAGGTAATAACTCTCCATATCGTACGTGATATAGTAATTTAACAACCTACTATAACCGGTTAAATTATGCTAGCACTATACTGTCACTATATATAACTTAAACTCTAGACATAATAATATCCTTTCTGATAATAGTAGCATTAGTTTGTATGGTTCTTGAATTAGACTTGCTTTATATTTTGAGACATTACTTGTAAATGCACGCCGAGCAAAAATGGGAAGTTAATGATTTTTATAAGCATCTTAACTATTTGGGTGCCTAAAAAATCTATAGACCTATTCTAGCCATGGCCATCAGAGCTTAAATTGCAATGATCTCATGTCATAAATTAATTGAAGAAAATGAGGGCGTTTTTTCCGACTTTGATAAACTAAACTTAGAACTGCCCCTCTTTTCTATAGCCAGTGGTAGTTACTAGTTACTACTCCCTCCGGTCCAAAATAAGTGATTTTTTGGATGTTTTCACGCAAATTAAGAAATCCACCTTTTAGCATTAATTAGCAATGGAATTGACCATATTAACCTTTACTATCTCACATAAACACTCCTAACACATATTCTAACACCATTTACTTCAAGGACAATGTAGGGAAAAAATAATTAATTCATTCTTGAAATCTGGAAAAATCACTTATTTTGGACCACAAGAAAAAGGCCAAAAAATCACTTATTTTGAACCACAAGAAAAAGACCAAAAAATCACTTATTTTGGACCGAAGGGAGTACACATTTATGTAATTAATCTAGGGAAATGTAACAAGGGGAGGAAATTAAATCTTCACAATTAAAGATTTCTTCAATTGAGATTGTTTTGAAGATCAAGATTTAATAAGTACTTTGGTTTAGAATACTTGCCTGAGTAGTGCCATTCTCATTTGTTTCAAGTCTGTACTCATGCATAATCCAATCGGACTTTTGTCCATTTGGTGCTCTACCTTTATAAAACACTAAGGTTTTTCTCATTCCAATCAAAATGTGCTTACGATAAATAGCCTTATCTCTTCCAGTAGCTTTCCAAAATCCTGCTTTTGTAGCTCTATTTGTGCGAGTTCCAGTTGGATATTTCTTGTCTTTATGACTAAAGAAGTACCAATCACTTTGCTCCTCTGTTCCTATCTTGCACAATTCTGATAAAATCAGATAATAACAGTAAGTACAAGACCATTTCTATCTAGGATTATGTATATTAGTAAACTTATGTTGCTCGGACTCTCCAAAATCCTGCCGCACCCGCGTCTCGACATGCACCCGGTGACATTTTGGAGAGTCCAAGCAACATAATTAGTAACTACCTTGAAGATCCCATGGCTCGATTTTATAAAGGTCAATTTCCTTAATGACATCAAGGTCGATTCTTTTTGAAGCAATCTTTTTCCTGAGGTAATAATCAACTAATTCTTCATCTGTGGGGTGGAATCTAAAACCTGGAGGAACATGTGTAAACGAATTCATGTCTTTCCTCCACAAATCAAGACCTGCATTAGAGTGAACACACTAATATTAACTTCAATATCTCTAAGGAAAATTAAAGTGAAGATTTTGTCTTATTTTTTTCGGGCTTTAATAGGAAAGCTTATAACTTTGTATCACATATTTTATAGGGGAAATGACACTGTATAGCTGCTGTTAAAATAATAACCGACAAAACGTTATATATACATACACATTATGTATGTTATATACAAAAATTATACAAATTTTATACACTTTTTTTGGCTACCAAATGTAGTTAGCTTGTGGCGCAGGCTAAAAGTGAAAAAAGCCATATTTTATAAGCTTCAAAGAAATACAAAACGAAACTAGAGTACAGTGTCTTCAAGAGAAAAAGGTAATGGAAAATTAAAAATTGATACATACATGTCATATTTTCAATCCATAAGTGATGAAATTGAGAACAAGTAGAAAAACAAACATAACATCTAAGAGTCAGATAGATTTCCTAAAAATATCAAAACTAGGGATCAAACATCAATTCACATCATTGTTTGAAAATTAAATAACAGTTTTCAAGCAAAAATTCATGCTTTAACATTAACAACATAGACATGAAAAGCCAAGGATAGAATTACATAAATTCCACAGCTTTTGGAGAAGATTGTTCATTTTAAATTTTCAATGTGCATCTATGGGTAACAATAATTCTTTCAAAAAACTCATGGAATATATATA